CAGGGGGACACCTTATGTATACATAGTCCGAATTATTCTGACGTTTTATCGACTTTTTTCATATCGGTCTGTCGTCGATTAACGTCAGATCTCCGACCCTTTATAATATGCGGGAAATATGCGACCCGAGCCCGGAGCGCACTTCAAACTGATATTTTAGAAACAAATCGTCACTTTCAAACATATGTCGCACATGGATCGAAAAAAGATCTATTCTTTATGCACAAGATGGTATCAATAACATGTTTCAAAGATCATTACGAAAAGTATTTTCCAACGTTTTCTATACCAACCCATGTTTTTAATGGAAATTAGGCCATGAGCAATGTCACATGACTTGACGAGATCTCGCGTTACGGAAGATATTTCCCAACATTATGACGTGGGCCGGCGAGATTTTAGTCACGTGGCATTAGAGGGCAGGGATATCAAAAAACTAGAGTAAAACAGAGTAAGTTTGAAAAAATATGTTTTTAGTGATTGTATTGGTTGTTTGAGGCATGCTATGTATGTTCATCTTGTACATAAAGAATAGATCTTTCGATCCATGTGCAACATGTGTGTGAAAGTGACGATTTGTTTCTAAAATATCAGTTTGAAGTGCGCTCTGTGCGCGAGTCGCATATTTCCCGCATATTATAGAGGGCCGGAGTTCTGACGTTAATCGATGACAGACCGATATGAAAAAAAGTCGATAAAACGTCAGAATAATTCGGACTAATGTATACAGAGCTGTCTCAAAAGTACAGTGAACAGAGTGAAGGAATGAAAGTAAAAGACTTCCATAAAATCTACTCTTCATTTGCCTGTTTGCCAGCATGTTTCAGTCTGCTAAGCAGGCCGTCGTCTGGGCACATATTACTGTTACAGAAAGTTTGAGTGACATGTTGGCACCTAGGTAAAAGAAGAATATACTTTATGGGGATCAGGCATCAGGAGTTACTACTCTTCCCTTTACTTCCATTTTCTTATCAGGCGGTGCTCAGAGGCTGCATATATACGATTTGAAGGACACATTGAAATATCAAGGTTGTTTAGCTATCAGTCGACCTTCAGGCTTAACTTTCAGGTGACCTTCAGGCAGTGCACACTTGGTGTTCAAGGTTTTCCGTTTGATGTGTATCAGGCTGTTTATCCTTGACCTAACCTTTGATTACACCCTGTGGTAATTAGAGCAAGGGTGAAGCAAGGGTAGATACAAATACAGGTTTACGGAGGTTTCGGCACGTAGATATATTTATTAGCTCACCTGGCACAAAGTGCCAAGTGAGCTTATGCGGTGGTGCGTCGTCCGTCGTCCGTCCGTCCGTCGTCCGTCGTCCGTCGTCTGGTGTCAATATTTTACTTTAAATGACTTCTTCTTAATAACCGAAAGGCCTAGGGTGTCGATATTTGGTCAGAAGCAAACTGGAATGAAGGGCTACAAAGTTTGTTAAAATTAATGACCTTCACCCATTTTCAAGGTCACAGGGGTCAAATATGTTAAAAACTTTAAACACATTCTTCTCGATAACTAAACTGCCCAGGGATATGATATTTGGCCAGTAGCATGCTTGGGTAAAGGGCTACCAAGTTTGTTCAAATGAATGACCTTCAATTATATGCAAGGTCACAGGGGTCTATTGTCTTAAAAAACCTTTAAACAACTTCTTCTGAAAAACCAAAATGCCCAGGGTGATGATATTTGGCCAGTAGCATGCTGAGATAAAGGGCTACAAAGTTTGTTCAAATGAATGACCTTCACCCATATTCAAGGTCACAGGCGTCAAATATGTTAAAAACTTTAAACAACTTCTTCTGAATAACCAAAATGCCCAGGGTGATGATATTTGGCCAGTAGCATGCTGAGATGAAGGGCTACAAAGTTTGTTCAAATGAATGACCTTCACCCATATTCAAGGTCACAGGGGTCAAATATGTTAAAAACTTTAAACAACTTCTTCTGAATAACCAAAATGCCCAGGGTGATGATATTTAGTCAGTAGCATACTAGGATCAAGGGCTACCAAGTTTGTTTAAATGTATGACCTTGAATCATATTCAAGGTCACAAGGAGCAAATATGTTCAAAATATTTAAACAACTTGTTCTGAATAACCAAAAGGCTCAGGATGTTGATATTTAGTCAGTAGCATGCTGGGATCAAGGACTACTATGTTTGTTAAAGTGAATGACTTTGACTTAAATTCAAGGTCACAGGGGTCAAATTTGTTTAAAATCTTCTGAATAACCATGGGTCCCAGGATGTTGATACTTTGCAAGCTGCATCCTGAGATGAAAGGCTATAAAATTTGTTCAACATAATGACTTTGTTCGACTTTCAATAACAGGGGTGAAATGTTTAAAAAAAAATTAACAGGGTCTTTTGAATGAATTTTAATCATAAATACTGATATTTTGCCTGTAGCTTTATTTTAGATCACTTTTAAGGTTACAAGTGCGAGATTTATACCAGGTGAGCGATGCAGGCCCATTGGGCCTCTTGTTAAAAGTTGTACATATGGATAAACGAGTCCCTTAGATATGAAGAAGATATATAAGTGTGACATTTTTGAATAGCATTTATATTTCTTTAGTATATGGCAGACTGCTAATAATTTTTAAAAGGGCAACATTATAAACAAGAATGTATATAATGTATACAAAGATATTTTTTTCTGTAGTTTCTCATTGTGGAGTGCAAAAACAGCAAAAGTTATTTGATGTTTTTGCACTCCACAATGAGAGCAAAATCAGTGAATAGCAGTATACATTATATCTTATATAGTGGTTACATGTGAAGGGCAAAATTTACTCTAGGAAAAGTAGATTTTACAGGTGAAGGGAGGATATTTGAATGGGCAAAAATTTCCTGCTATAAAGTACACACATTACACTTAAATCTGCGTCAAAGTTGTCACAATTTAATTTTTAGGTCACCTGAGCTTTAGCTCAAAGGGATATCATTAATATTTCATGGGAAGGTTACTGACATCTCCCTGACCAAGTGTTGTTATTTTTCGGGTCGATCAGAAATCCAATATGGCCGCCAAGGACGCCATTTTGAAAAACTATTTCAAACTTAGAGTCAAGTTCTGCTGGGCCGATTGAAATGAAACCTGGTAGGAATGATCGACTCATGGTCCTGACAAAGTGTTGTTATTTTTCGGGTCGATCAGAAATCCAATATGGCCGACACGGCCGCCATTTTGAAAAACTATTTCAAACTTAAAGTCAAGTTCTACTGTGCCGATTGAACTGAAACTTTGTAGGAATGATCAACTCATGGTCCTGACAAAGTGTTGTTATTTTTTGGGTCGATCAGAAATCCAATATGGCCGACACCGCCGCCATTTTGAAAAACTATTTCAAACTTAAAGTCGTTCTGCTGGGCCAATTGAACTGAAACCTGGTAGGAATGATCAACTCATGTCCTGACAAAGTGTTGTTATTTTTCCGGCCGATCAGAAATCCAATACCATTTTGAAAAAAGTATTTCAAACTTAAAAACAAGTTCTAATAGGCCGATTTAACTGAAACTCGGTCTAGGAATGATCAGCTCATGGTCCTGACAAACTTAAGTTAAAGTTATACTTAACTATTTTGTACTCAAATTGGTACATATTTCAACAGCAAAAATAAATACTGTAGGACTCAGATGACCGTTTAGGCCCATGGGCCTCTTGTTATTAAAGCCCAGTTATAATTTTATCTCTTCTGGAAATATGATAAACTGTTACTTGAATGTCAATTTTTTCCTAAATATTCACTTTTGTTTTACCCTCTTAAAAATTGTATAAATAAAAGCATGCGTCTGTGAGATATATGTATGTTTAATGTATCCAAAAGATACATGTATGTGACAGTTTTGATTTAAATATCCAGGAAATGATGTAGAAATTCTGGCAACAGTCAACTTTACGTAATGCCTGTTTCATGAAACATAATTGGAACAGATTAAGAATGAAATGTTTCCTTAGGATTTATTGTGTTTTTACCAGAATATGTTTTAAACGATATCAACATTTACCTTGAGCAATTAGTGAAACAACTTAAGATGTTTACAAGTGTATGTCCAGAGCGATTAGCAGTCAGACGAGATAATAATTATAACCTGCGCATTACGCGTAAAAACTGTCAAATAAGTAGAACTTCAGTATGGCTACCGTAACACAGTCAGCATTTTGTATTGGTTTCTGAGTGTTGCTTATTACCCGACCCTGTAACTTTCCATAAACGTCGGGACTACTGATCAAATCAAGCTGAAGAGAAATAACGTGTGGCTTTCCTTTATACAACATGATAAATAGAAACAGAGAATCTCACCTGGTGGATAATTACAAAACAGCAAATTTCAACAATTCTGTTATGAAAATTTTGGGAGCTACAGTTTGTGAAACCTATAAAAATCAACAATAACAAGAAACTTCCGTTTCAGGTGAAACTTTTGTACTTTATTGTAAGTGTAACAATTGTAAGCTGTTTGTATTGTTTGTTTTCAAATTACTCCAAGGAATTTTGAATGGCTAGTCCAGTAAAGGTTATATACTGAAGGTGTCTAGCTGTTGGGTTTTCAAATCTGCCAGGTGTGGTTGAAAATGTGTCAGTTTTGGATTATTTTCAAATTAAGAACAATTATACAGAATGAATTGTAAAAAAAAGGGAAAAAAAACCCCACCTTTGGTACTGTAGATCTATATATAAGTAGGCCTCCTTGTATTCTAATGTAAATTTGAAAGAAAAAAACTTCCAGTAAATTCCATCAAACTGCTAGATTGTGCATTATCAAGCTGTTAAATCTTGGTGAATAGAATATAATCTCTGTATTCCAAACATATTTTTTAGGTCCTGCAGTGACCAAAAATCTCTGTATTCCAAACATATTTTTAGCTCACCTGGCAGGAAGTGCCAAGTGAGCTTATGCCGTGGCGCGTCGTCCGNGTCCTGCAGTGACATTCAGTATAGTCTTTATAACATATTTAAAAACACAATGAAAAAAATATCAATTTATTCTACTTTCAGGCGGTGTGGAGACTCTATACCGAAATAACGAAGAAAGCATCCACACTCGGACGAATTGATTCTAAAACACCAGAGGTTTGTTCTAAAATTTGTAGAAAATGTTGAAGCTACTGGAATCCGTCTCAAAGTTAATTAATCACTTCATCTGTTCAAAAAAAGTATCAGAAACAAGAAGTATGTTTTCTTTGCTCCCACGTTTCGTATTCATTCAATAATATCATTAAAAACGATCCCTAATGATATTGTACATGAATGGTAAATTACTTTGCACTTAAAAGAAAATGAGCTCAGATTACAAGGTTTTTCAATTCTTGATTGATGTGGGTTTGAAATAATGCATGTTAGGTAAATTGCAGGTAATTTCTTACCGCGGGTGTTTAATCTTTTATCGCGGGTGTTTAATCTGTTAACGCGGGTGTTTAATTTGATAATTGTTTCCTTCCTGTTCTTAAACCCCAATAAAATCTGAAAAGCAATACAGCTGCACCTTATGTCATAACTAGGAGAGAGCCAATGTTTCGCTCGAAGGATCATATACATTTAGCAATAAAAGCACCACTGTTAACACTTTGGGAGAAGTTGTGTTTGGTTTTGCAGCTTTGCTTTCCAAAGTCAAGGTCGTTCTCAGGAGGAATACTGGTGGTACCTTAATACCATGTTTGCTGTTACAGTTAACACAATTTCTTATTTCAGAATAGATACTCGTTATTTCCACCCAACAGCATATATCAAATGCAAAACACATTTTTCTTTGGAAAACTTCTTCTTACAAACTAAAAGACCCAGGTCGTGATACTTGGCAAGTAATTACTTGAGTGGAGTGTTAGTTTCCACAAATTACCTTGACCTACTGTCGGGGTCTTAATTGTCAAATATGTTGAAAAGTTTTAATCACATTATGTCCTATGTTGTGAGGTCCAGAGCCATGATGTTTTACATGCTGTGAAGACCATCCGTGCACCTGTTTTCTAATGTATTGTGCTCAGGTCAAAGTTCATCTTTGAGAGCTGGCCCGGACATATGTAGGCAAATGTTGTTTTGAGTAACAAACTTTTAAAACATTTTTGTTGATTGTGTGGCGTGAAGAGTTATCAAATTCATCAAATAGTTTGACCTAAGGTCACAAAGGTTGAATATATAGAAAAACCATTTGACAGTATCTTTGAATCTAGAACTTAAGTCATACTTGGCAATTTGCTTTGTTTTGGAGATTAAAAAAGAAACAAGCTTGACCAACAGTCAAGTATTAGATCAAGAAACTATTCAGTGATTAGACTCATTTGGTCTGCAAATATTATCCTTAGCTTACACATAATGTAAATGGTCCAAGTAAATGCTGCAGGTCCTCTGGGCCTCTTGTTTTATTTTAAATGCTTTATTTATGCTAATCAAAGAAATGTTTGAACTACTTTCAGTGTGTTGAGATAAAACTTCTTTGGGAATACTGTGGTGATGAGGTGACTGTGATCTCAAGGTCAGCCTGCCAGGTCTTGGTGCGTTTGGTAACCGACGGCAATGCCGACTTCCTGTTCATTCTCAATGGGCTCCTGAACCAAGTTCCGTCGGCCAGGTAAGCTAGACAGTGACTTATGAACACTTTGGGAGAGTTTTAACGTGTTTCAAGTGAAATCACTGCTTGAGACTGTTTGAAGTTTGTCTTACTACTTCTGTGATTTCCTGTTCCTTTATAGAACTCTTGGATATGCTTGACGGCCTCACACAGACATTTCCTGTTCCTTTATAGAACTCTAGAATATGCTTGACGGCCTCACACAGACATTTCTTGTTCCTTTATAGAACTCTAGGATATGCTTGATGGCCTCACACAGACATTTCCTGTTCCTTTATAGAACTCTAGGATATGCTTGACGGCCTCACACAGACATTTCCTGTTCCTTTATAGAACTCTAGGATATGCTTGA